TCTATATAAGCTATAAAATATTCTAAAAATGTAGGTTGTCGTGAGTAAAGAGAATATTAGATCCAACATAATGTCTTGTCTTAGAATCACTCTCACTAAAAGTAACATATTACGCAATAGCAAGTATCCATTAGCAAAATTGACCACTTCCTGTTTAAGTGGACCTTTATCTCCAAATAAAAATATTTTAGTGCCTCTATGTTTACTTTAACTAAATGAGTTAACCTGAGAGTCCTTCCAGTGACAAATCCTACAATTATAATAAAATTTGTAAGGATGTATGGATGTATGTTTGTTACTCTTTCATGCAAAATTTATTTGATGGATTTTGATGAAACTTTACAGTAATATAGGTTATACATCAGAGTTTCATTTAAATTAATAGATATTAACATAGTAATAATACGTAGTTTATAAATATCATAAAATATAACTGAATTACAAAACATTAACATTTAAATTTTATTACGTTTAATGAAATGGTTAAGTGCAAGTCGGGCCGACATCCTAAGGATTTTTACCACTAAATTGTGATATAAAACTCAATACAAATTTTGAAATTACAAAATTTTTAAATACATGCAGCTTGAAAGATGCGACCATTTACTATTATAAGACAACTGGACGAACAGCGAGACCCTAAAAGTTATATGAACGACGCAAAATGTGTTATATATTTTTCCAAAATAACTTGAAACCGGTGAAAAAATGTATCCTCTTTATATTAAGTTTGTTGAAATATAATAAGATCTATATGGGTTTTTCTACATTAATAAACATATCAAACTCCATTTCCATTCAAATACAGCAGATTTTTTCCCTACAACTGATTTTACTTTTATATATAGAACTTTTGATTTTTTACCCATCGAATACTAAAATATGCATCACTGTGAAGATACAGTATTCCTATTTATGTTTTAGGTATAAATAAAATATACACTGAAGTCGTACATTCGACCTTCTATTTTATGCGCTGAGCGCGACTGGTACTGCGTTACGAGGGCACTATTATGTTAAAAAAGGCTGCAATTTTTTCGTGTTTTAATATAAAAGTATTTTGTGTCTAGTACTCGGAAGTTGAACCATTGTTATTGCGCTGAGTTGAACTGAGAAATTTGTTTTTTGTAATCAGTTATTATTATGTTGATGTTACGTTGTAATGAAATGAGAATTTTCTGCTTGCCAGTAAAATTTGGATTTCGCCTAAATATGATGAGGTATCGATCGCTCTCGTTTAATTCCGATAAGATCTTAATAAGCGGTCAGCTTCGAGATCTATAATATCATGTCCCTTGCGAGTTACGGACGAGAGAGGATTTAGAGTCGATTATTTTGATTTTATTAACATTTCTTTCGACAGCTATACTAAACATATTTTATACGTTTAAATACGTATGTATTTTATAGACATTTCATAAGGTGTTAGAGTTTATAGTTTCAGTATCTATATAGAGTTAATGGGCACTGGATCTTACAATATTTGTCTGAAACTAAAGACAAAGTGCGTTTAAAATGGTAGTCGATACAAAGTATCTTGATATAACCAGCATGGAAAGAACTAGAAGAGTTAAGTGTTACTGGATATTCTTTCAAGTTCTCTGCAAGAAAAATCGTTAATAAGATATTTCAAAAGAGATATTTTGTTTCATCACTTGCTATCTTCACAATTCTTTCGGGTCTATTTACGTTAAATATAGATCAATACAAATTGTGTTGTGTCGGGCTTTTGCTAGCGCACTCGCTTAAAATATCAAGTGAAGCAGGTCTCGCAACTCGTAGCTTTTCCATTTGCTAATATGGTATTAGAAAATATCTTGAGTAACATGTCTGATAAAATCTGTGAAGTCTTTCAACCAGTTTGGTCAGCCTGGCGATCGGCAACCTAATACCACTCGCCTTGGAGAAAGCGCTAGGACGGTAAGAAGGGATGAATATCTAATATAATTATGGCATCTTGTTATATTTTATCCACCATTAATCATGTGATCGACGTCCATCAGTCTTTTTTTTAGATCCTCACATAAATCAAAATGGCAAGTAATTATGTATAAAATATCCTGACGCATGATCAATCTAGTAATCTCACCCTAAAATGCTCCGCTAATCTTACTTCCATTGTTTTCAAAGGTTCGGCTTATTTTGTGGTTCTACTTTGCCGTTTTGCGGTAAAGAACTAGATTGTGGTTTGAATTATTTTAGAACAAATATAAGTTTAAATTTTAGGACACAAAAACAGATTGAAAGACATACTGAATATATATATATATATATATATATATATATCTAAACCACCAATTTGAGATATACCATGCACGATAAGTAATCTGCAGTAAGTTTATACATCTACATATACCTATAAAACATAGTCGGGTGAGTTGCACCATTTATAACCCAAGAACGCCTGAACCAATTTTTATGATCTTTGTATTATTGGATTTGTCTCCGCCCTAATAGCAGATTAACTGTAAAATCTCGGAAAAAGTCTCGAATTTTTTTTAAATTAAAATTTACATGGCTAACGCTGGGTGATAACTATTTATATCTATTTAAAACTTATATAGTGTTTGATAAAAACTTATAATGTACGTACATTTTAATTCAATTAAAATAGACTGCTTTTGCACGCAATGTACTACAATATTTGCCTGTCCTTATCTGGTAAATAAAAGTGCAAGAGCTGGCGACAGCAAATCGATTATTATCATTACCGGTTTGTCAGGGCCAGAGCGCTTTATGTTAGCACTGCGTACCTGTGTACATATTTCTGTGTACATTTTTATTTAAAATAATATGAATTTTTCTTTTTTTTAAATCTCTTGTATTAGATAAATCAATCTTATATTAAAAAGTGAGCTCATCACACAAGGTTTGATCTCGATAATTAATCTAACTTTTGGATATCAATAGATTTTTTTTCTTTTCTCGTATTCCGTTGGCATTATATGCCCTTTGGTGTAAGCGGAATTGTTAGAGGATATACCTCACACTTTATCTTTAATGTGGCGACCATATAATACTGATATATTAAAATGCTTGAATTAAGACTTTAAGTGCGTTTGAAGAGTACTTACTTGAATGAATGAAGATGACAAGATTTGAGGATAACATTATTATTTAAATAATATGAAAAGAATTTACCTATTTATATTTAAAAAAATCTGTTTCCAAAGTCTTTACTGATGCCACTAAAGCTCATCTATAGCAACTAAACAAAAAATAAGAAAATCGGGTCACAAACAAAGGAGAAAACCACTGAACTACTTAACTGTTTTGTCTTTGTCTATTTATATAAAGATTCCAAAACTAGATAATAATTATAAATATTAATATCTGGAAATCATTTAAGTGCAAAAATAATAAGTTTTTCATTAAGCACAATTTATTTAGTACAATCAAATAAAACACTCATATAGAAAGTACCTCCAATAATTTTTAGTGACCGATTAACCGAACGGTCGAAATCCAATAAATGCTGAATCGGAGAATGGTGAAATCGCGTGAGCTTGTATATTAACAATTAATAAGGTTTACGGCCAATTCTATTGCTATTTTACTACGCCTATGCTACTGTGTTATATAAATAAATATTTAAGCCAAATAGTAAAGATTTCTCTTTCTTAAAACACTATAGCTGTTTTATATTTAATAGATTAAATGACTTTCAGTAGCACTGCCATTACTTTTCGGAGTTTGATCATAATATAACTTTAATAGAAGAAAAATTCCGCAGTAAGTGAAAGTAGAACCAATTCTAAATGGATTTCCAAATTATTTTTGCCTAGAATATTTTTTTTAATATAGAAATACTAACATTCATGCCAAATTGTGTACAAATAATTCGAACAGTAACTAACAATACCACTCCGCCTCAGTCAAAGTGCACTTTATGAAAAACTCCAATCTATACAAGAATCGCGCATTCATTAGTAGTTTCAAAACAATGCCTGCACTCAATACCGTTGAATCATAAAGCGAGTATAACAACAGAATGTAAATAGAAAAGGTCAAGGTAGATGATAATGTAAGATGTAAATCAGATTAGAAGATATTTTTGAAATCACACAGATTTAATTTTCAATTATCTTTTTCCTTTTTTATATATAATTACCAGCGGCTCTCCCTCGCTTCGCTTGGATTCCTAGTGAAAAATAAAAACAAACCTATTCCATGGAAACCGTACATTTTTCTGGGATAAAAAGTAGCTTATATGCTATTCCAGACTATAATCTATCACTGTGCCAATTTTCATCCAGATCCGTTCAACCGTTCTAGCGTGATTGAGGAACAAACATCCATCCATCGAAACTTTCACATTTATATAATAGTAAGATTTAAACATAGAAAATGGCGTAATATTTTATTATTTCTTTAAATAATTATTTTCTGTTGTGTGTGTATGTAGTCTCAAGCTAATAAACGGGTTACTAAATAGTGAAAATATTATATTTTTAGTTAACTCTTCAACTATATGTTTTTAAATAAGTCACTCCATTAATAAGTTCTATACTTTGGTATGTAATTGATAACTTATATTAGTTACATATCAAGTAAAGTCACTCGGGTATAAATGCAGCAACACATATAATATTTTATATTCCTGAAAACATTGTATTTAAACCATGTATTTAAAGCAGCAAATATTTAATAATCCCTCACGTTACAGTTAACAATAGATTTCTTAGAAATTTAATTAATTTCTTAGAAATTTACCTGGAGGTGATAAGATATTCACACATTTTAATGTATAAGTTATATTTAACCCGGAAGAAGCTAGAACGGGTCTCTCTAAATGTCTACTTAATTTTGTATGTAATGAATAATATCTAGAATTACTAAAATAATGTTAAAATTTCTAAAATAACATTATACAAATCTTGAAAAGTTTCAAGCATTATTATTTAAATAATCCTTCAGTACAAATCCGGAATTACTATTAAATACATATATACAGTATATATAATTTTAATTTTATTTAAAATATTTATTTTCTTTTTTAGCAACCAGTTCTTCCACCTTTCCCACTTTGGTTAGCGATCATCATTGCGACGTGTCTGGTGCTGGTCATACTTTTGACTGTTAGCGGAAACGTACTAGTACTGCTTGCATTTTTGGTAGACAGAACGATTCGTCAGCCAAGCAACTACTTCATAGCTTCACTTGCTGCTACTGATCTGCTAATAGGTAAGATGCTGTAAGGTAATGTAGCATATTTTAACTTACGTAGAATTCAACTAACCTAAATTATAATAACTTCTTCCAAATAATTTGTGAAGCTTTAATTAGAGTTAATTGTATAGATTTCAAGCAATATTCTTAAATAAATAAGTAAAATATAGTTATAATATTATGTGGATAACATGTAACAACAAAATTTTTGGAATAGTTACATATCGAAAAATGATTTGTATAACATAAAAGCATGCCACTCAATTTACTGTCTAATACAATTGGTTGGTTTCAGGTACGTTATCGCTCCCCTTTTATACAGATTATGTGTTAAAAGGGTACTGGCACTTGGGGCCTTTGTTATGTGACCTTTGGCTGTCCGTTGACTACACAGTATGTTTGGTATCACAATATACCGTTTTACTCATAACAGTAGATAGATTTTGTAGCGTCAAAATAGCAGCAAGATATAGAGCTTGGAGAACTAAAAATAGAGTGATATGGATGGTCACAGTTACTTGGATAATACCAGCATTATTATTCTTTACTACCATATTCGGATGGGAACATTTTGTTGGATATAGAGATTTGCAAGAAGGCGAGTGCGCTGTTCAATTTCTTAAAGATCCAATTTTCAATACAGCTTTAATTATAGGATACTATTGGACTACGCTTTTTGTACTTATTGTGTTGTATGCTGGTATTTTTAAAACAGCATATAACATGCAAAAAAAGAGCGAAGCGAAACAAAGGAAAATGCAATCAATGGTTGCTTTAAGTGCTGGTGTAATGACTGGTATGGCGGGAAGAGCTGCTGGAATGGCTGCTTTATCTAAAGCTACAATTTCTAGTGAAGATCAAATAAAAGTTTCTGATTCCATTCGTAAAGACTCAACTTCAAAAGGATCACTCGCCGCTCCGTTACTAAATTTAGGTGGATCAACAGATTCAAATTCGAGTCAGAAATCATCTGCCCATAAAAGTAGTGCAACAGTAACTGGTACATCTACAACAGCTGAGTCAGATGCAGATAAAAAAGAGGACCAAGTTGAAGCTGAAAGATCAAGCAGTCCTGCATTCGACTCAGACGATGAAAGTACTACTCAATCAAATATTAAAAAGCGGCCATCCGTAGCTAATTTAGTGATGCAAACTGGTGCACTTCAATTACTTAACAATATGCGGTTAAATGGTAGTATGCTAATGAAACCAGATATAAAACAATCTCCGTTATTAAAACATGATATTGAAAAACCAAAATCATCATTATCCCAAATATCAGAGAAGAGTCTTCTCGATACTGAAAATCCCGATACCTCGCAAAGTAATGGACAAGCACCAGCAGTAAGTGTTCCTCTATCTTTCGCTAGCTTTATGTCCCCTTCATCATCGGGGATAGCGACGCCTTCTGAGAGAGAAGTAACAACTACAATCGCTCAAAGAATCATTCCTCCTCCATCAGAATTTAGAGGCAGTCCACCCGTATCCGAGAGTCCCCCATCTCAATCAGAATCATCTAGAGCTAAAATATTTAAATTAATAAAAAATGACGGCACAGGCTCTGATGTGCTCATGGGTATGGATGGTGCTGACTTGAGGTATATGGATGAGAGCTCTATCATTGTTCCTTCCCCTACTAATGAAAGTCCTCCATCTTCCATCACCTTTCCAACAGCTACTGAGCCATCATCTCCTCCTACATTGAATTCGGGTATTATAACAAATACTTCATTATTACAGGCTGCTCTCATACGAGCAACAGCTGAAGCTCAAGTAACACAACCCAAAACAAATTTATCTCCTCCACCACCTATAAAAGTTAATACCGAGGTAAGTTTAACTACTGGAGAACGTCCAAAACCCATTATAACCCTTGTATCATCGTCTTCCAATAATAATGAAACTTCATCTCAAAAACCATCTGAAAATAAAACCTCGACTTTAAAGCTTACTGAAACACCAGCAATTGAAAATAGTGATATTTCAAGCCCAGTAGTTAGTGGGGCGGGTCGTAGTGATTCTAGGAGAGACTTTGTTAAAAATATAGGAAAAAAATTGAAAGTCAAACGTTCAAAACGAGATGGATTATTTCCAAGTATTGGTAGGCAAAAATCTAAGTCTGAGAATAGAGCCAGAAAAGCGTTCCGGACGATTTCTTTTATATTAGGCGCGTTTGTCGTTTGCTGGACACCATATCACATTTTAGCGTTAGTTGAAGGCTTCTGTACAGATCCACCGTGTATTAATCAACATTTGTATATGTTTTCATATTTTCTGTGCTACGCTAATAGTCCTATTAACCCTTTTTGCTATGCGTTAGCCAATCAGCAATTCAAAAAGACCTTCACCAGGCTTCTTCGGGGCGACTTTCATATTACCTAGTCCATGTATATTGGCTACAAAAATGCGTAATTCGATGCTGTTATACAGTATCCTTCTAAAGTATTACGCGCACAATTTATATTGAAATTGTATTAATTAGATCGCTTACCATAAGACAATACTAATATATGACTAGTATAATATGTGCTTTCAATGTATAGACATTAAATGAATGTATTATAGTAACGTTAATATTCGTGTATGTATGTATGTAAAGCAAATTTTCCAGATTTTTTTAAAGTTGGCCTTTTAATAATAACTTGTAAATAATTTTGTAGAGTACTTGTTGCATATTATTAAGCATAATAATAATTTCATCTGTAATGTTCAGAACTGACAATAAATGTTGTAAATAGTTTTCAAATATAAAAGTCTCTTTATATTTCTAGTTAACAATGTATGTAAGTATATATAGAGTAAATAATTTTAAAATAACTTAATGTGTAAAAGATAAGCAAGTATGCAGTAAGTGTAACATAGACAGAAAATATTGTGACAATAAACAAGATTTTAAAGTCTGAATCTTTTGAAGTCATTCAATAAATTAATATATATAATTGAGAATTTGTAAAATAAGTAATAATTATTATTAATAATAATAATATTATTCACGTGCTCTGCTACTGTGCATATATTATGTATGTATGTATGTACGCCATTTGGCGTAAGTATTAATTTTAAAATGTCTTAATGTTAAGAGAAGCCAAAATCTGTTCATTGTCACATTATAGAAAGACACAAAACGCTTTAAAACTTTAAGCTTTGAGCCCAGCTAAAGCTTTCTAGCGTTCTTAGTCAATTAAAAATATCCTTAAACTATTAATATTAACTAAGTGTTCGTTTAATACGTAAATGAATAGATATAAATTTTCTGTTTTACTGTAATGTTACAAGTGTTAATAAATAAAATATTATTTTTGTTAAAATATACTTAATAATTGTTTTGATAATATCATTGCTTAATTAATTATTGTTGGCCTAACCAAAGCAATCTTAGATTTTACTATTTTGTCTTTTTATGAAGCATACTACATTAAAATACATTTTGGTATTATTAAATTATTATATAAGTTAAGAAAAATTGTATATCAAAACGAAGAAATATATAAGTATTAAAAACAAAACTTAGATGTATAAATGATGATTTATTTATTATAATTATTAGTTTTAACACTGAAAAAAAACCTTCCAATCAGTGTATTTTATGAAAATGTAGAAATATAAATAAACAGTATTATAATCCATCGTTCAATAGAAAATAAGTTGTTACAAAAATGAAAGACGAAAGTGAAATAAAAGTAGAGGCAGAAAACGTTTAATAGCTTAATAATAGGATGTAAAAATATGTTAGAACATAGATTTTTTTATATATTTATTTTATATTGAAACCCATAGGATTAACTTTCTTGCATAACCAGAAACTTCCGTTTTATTTTAGCTTTATTTTTCTTTAATTATAGCACATAAATAAATTAATTAATTAATGATGAGAAAAATTTATTGTTACAAGTAATTTTGTCGTCAAATATTTCATATTGCAAAAGCAAGGAATACCGTGCAGTAATATGTATTATATTGTGCAGTAATAATTATTTGAAGAGAAGCGTTCCCAAAAATATCCATCTTTATTTTAGAGAGATTTTATTTAGAGAATACGCAGCGTAAAGACCTGATCTTTAAAGCTAACTTTTTTAATTTATTGTATTTAGTATTTATAGCACCGTCTTCGACACTCGGTTGTCTTGAATTTTGCTTGTCTCTCATACCTTTATTAATTATAGTTAATTAATAATTATCAAAGATCCAAATATAGCATCATTAATTCTTGTTAAACATAGACATATTTTATTATTTAAAAATGTCAATAATATATTATGTATTACTGTACTAATGCTATTTGTTTTGAACTGTTCCTTTTATTTAACACAGATAAAAAATTTTATGGATTATCGTTGATACGAGAAAATGAAATTTAGATTGTAAGAAAGTGCTTAAATGTCGTCGCCTTAGAATTGTGTCGATTATAAAATACTTTGTAAATATTCTTAGTATGTTCTTAAAATTATCTCATTATTGCTTAAAGTAACTGGTCTGAAACACAGCATCTAATTATCATCTATACATATGATAAAATTGTAACTGATTGCTGTCTGTACATGGAAGATAATTGGGTAAAACTATTGTTGGCAGTCTAAAACGCAATAGAAATCAAAACAATGATTTTAGACTTTTTATCTGTTTATCTGTACGTTTGTGCGCACTAATCTCAGAAACGGCTTAACCGATTTGGGTGCGGTTTTCACTAATGTATTGTGGTATGCTTTACTTAACATTTAGTATTTGTTTTATTTCAATCTTTTCATAAATAAAAAAGTTATGTCAATTCAAACAATCATATAGGCACGAACCCAAGCGAGTCACTAGTTGTAAATATATTTTCTTATTACTTATTATACTTGTTAGCGATGTGATCAATTTTATAGTTAATTTTAAAGGAAAATAAGAGCCTTATCGTTATCACGTCGCGTCAGCTCCCTTTTCTGAGTAACGAGGGACATGACACTAACTGCTTTGACTGCTGTTTATTTAACGTCTTAACTACTAACATCAGTGATATTAGAACAGTGTAATGTAAAGTTTCATTATCTTGTCACAATTGAATTCATTAGCCCCGCCTCTCCATTGTTTGCTACAAAGCATTCGAAACGTCGAAAAATCTAAGAAAATATTATGTGAATTCATCGTAAATTTTTAACTATTCTAATATTTTTGCTAATAGAACTTCATGACTTATAATAAGCAGCTTAATAATAAGCTCTCAGTACAATATCCGAGAAAAAGACATATCTCCATTACATAAAGTATTTTATGATATCGGTAACATATTTTCCATGGCAATTAATGAAAAATATAAGTAATATGAGGAGTTTCATTATCTTTCATCTGTTATTAAATTTTATGTAAAAATACACTCTGTATAATTACATGATGTTATAATAATGTCTGTGTTACTTGTACTTGTGTGACGTAATTGTGGAAGTAAATCTACAAAGGTATATAATTAGTTATACATTAAATGTATTTAAAATATCTAATAAATTTCAGTTTCGACATCATGTTTTTAAAGTACCTACTACTAATAGAACTAGCAGTATGTACCGGCTTCACAGGCTGTTATTTTTAATTTGACACAGTATTAATATATTTTTTTCATATAATATTCTCACCATTTCTCACCCCTTTTAGGGATAAAATTTATTAACATCTTGTCTTTAGTTCATCCATTTTGTATGCTATTCGAAGGAAAAGTTACAAAAAGTGATTACCTGCCACCAGCAGCCTTTTAGGTCTTAATCTAACTGCCTGGAGCAGCTTCATATATAAATCAGTGCACTATATTGTAATATGTAATTAAATGTGACGTAGTGGAATATATACTGCATTCCGTTACTAAATAGCTATCATCCATTACAATGTTGATTCTAAATCATTTGTTTGAACAATACTATTCTAATGTAGTATATTAAGTCAATTGAGATGCTCTAATCTACATCACTTTCTATTATTTTATGTAATTAAAAATATAGATGTATATGTACCGTAGATACATTGTAATTATACAAATTATTTCATGTCATTTTTTGAGTGTGAAGTACGTGAATAAATGATATAGCAATCTATATGGTGTTTGATTTTTGACATTTCAAGATCTAATTAGACTAACTATTACGCTATTGACCTAAAATACAATCTATTTTTTTTTATTTTTATTTTTTTTTTTTTATTTATTGGCCAATACATAACAAATACATTATAATTTGCAATTTAAGTACCACGAAAACCTCGCGGGTTTATCTGGGTACAGAGAGTCATTCAGTTTATTCGGTTTGTTTTTGTAAAAAATATTTTTTAAAAAGTGATTTGATTTTCGTGGTACTTTTATACATTTCTTGCAGTTCTCTGGGCAGTTCGTTAACATATTCAGGTATTAAGTAGTTATCAGTTCTCTTTCCATACTTATTGTTAGTTTTTGGTAAGTGGTATTTATAGTTTAAATCAAGTTGACGTAAGCCTAAAGGTCTAAGTTTTTCATTTAACAAGGTTGTATTATTAATTTGAGTTAGAATAGAAAATTTAACTTTATCATATATGTTCATAACATTACAATGCCGAAATAGCTGAATATAGTTGTTCTTATAATTATTAAGTATGCGTTTAGGTACAATTGTTTTTAATAATCTTAACTGTAAATTGTAAATATTTTCCAAGTTTGATTTGCAGGATCTGCCGTAACTACTAAGACCATAATCGATAACCGAGTCACCCAAGGCCACGTACAGGAGCCTTAGTGTCTGGTATGGTAATTTGGCTTTGAGTATACTTAGTTTACTTAATAATGATCTTAATTTAGAGCAAACGTGATCTGTATGCGGGCCCCAGGTAAATCTGTCATCGATCATTAAGCCTATGTACATATGTGTTTTCACTTGTTCAACAGCTACACACGAACAATTCAGACTGCATGAAGAGTGCAAACAAGAGTGGTTGTGAGCCACGATGGTAGGTCTGATGTCTGTCTGATTGTGCGACGAGTGAATATGTATAAACTTCGTTTTGTGTGCGTTTATTATCAGACCTACATCGTGTGCCCATTTACATAATTGATTAAAATTATTTTGTAGTTTTTCCTGGGCATGTTTGACCGTTCTTTGAGCTACCACTAAACATGTGTCGTCCGCGAACTGGTATACAGTGCCCTCATTTATAATATTAACCATGTCGTTCACACATAACAAGTACTCAGTAGGGCCGATAATTGAGCCCTGTGCTGTGCCCCGTTTGGTTGATATTAAGTTACTACATTGTTTGGATAGGCTTACTGTGGTTTTTCTGTTAAGATGATAATTTTTTAATAATTTCAGTAAAGGACCCTGTATACCACCCCGCGAAAGTTTATCGAATAAAATATTGTAATTTAATACATCAAAGGCTTTGCT